TTTTAGGTCCTCCAATTCATTCTTAACAGCTCTGCGAGCTGAATTAAGAAGTTTTCTTTACCATCAAGGATCTTAAAAACATCTTTGATAATCTTCGTGTACCTAGTGTAGTTTCAAACAGGCGAACATACAGTTTTAAAGAATAGTTAAGCATTAACCGTTTGAGTCCATCGTATGCCAAAAATACGGCGCAGCGCGATAGCGCTTGTCTCGTTTTGTATCGAGATTGCGAAGACGCTGCTGTTGGTTAGTATAATTGAAAAAAAAAAATATTGAAAATTGAAAAAAAATTATTGAAATATTCAATTGGTTTCGCATCAGGATGAGGGGCACGCTATGGTCCAGGGACTTCAGAAAAAGTATTCGATTCCTTCGAAAAAATTGTATCCACGGGTAAAAACTCATCAATAATATCGTCATCGGAGGTACTTGCAGTTACTTCATCATCATCGCTGCTATCACTAACAACTCGTAATCTCTTAGAACGAATGATGATGTCACTTCCACTATCACTTTCAAGGTCATTATTATATTCTTCATTATCATTTCTCATTACATAGTCACTTTCAAATGAATCGGAACTTGACATGGGTTATTTCGTAATTATCAGTATAACACTTGGTAAAAAAATGAAAACAATTTCCAATTCCTATAAAACAACTGCTACTGATATCACTACAACTGCTCTCAATAACTGCGTAAAGTATACTAACCAACAGCAGCGTCTTCGCATTCTCGATACAAAACAAGAGAAGCGCTATCGCGCTGCGCCGTATTTTTGGCATACGGACAAGTATGCCAAACGCCGGACTCTAACGGTTAAAGTTTGATTAGCAAACGGTTAAAGTTTGATTAGCACCTGTAACAAAAATCTTTCTTTGTAAGCTTATTTCTACATTGTGATAGTCACTGTGTTGCAATATATAAAATAAAGAATACATTAATAGTGCTTAGTTATTTCTGCTATTAGTGTTTTAATTAAAATTAATTTATATATCGTTACTGTGGTAGCAATATAAAATTGCGGCTATCGGAAACAGTATTGTATAAGAAGAGGCTGATGTCGTGCATTTTGTTGTTTGATTTATCTGAACATGGCAAGACATACATGAGGACTATCTAAGGGAAGAGATGCCTTCATGGAATGCTTTCTAAAGCTAGCTGGTGCTATTTGTTTACATTTGAAGCTCTTAGTAATGTAGTGAATTAAGTCAGTTGGTGCACCAACTTCAGTATCTTTCTGCACAGTGGGTCCAGAAGTTAACTTTAAATGTTTTTACACCGAAAATTTTATCTTTCTGCTCGCTGGTCGAATTGCTTGTTTTAATTGAAAAAAAAAAAAAAATTACTTTAACTGTTTTTAACTGCATTTTGTATTATAGGTTGTTCTGTATTTTATCACTTTAAATGAAGATATTTTAAGTTTTTATGTTTTTTTTTTCTCTTGTTGCCTTGCCGTGAAAAGAGAACTGAATAGAATAAATGAGAAATGTATCTCGAATGAAATTCGAGGAAATAAGTTTAACTGAAGTTCAGCAAAAAGTGTGTATAATCTAACATGCCGTACAATGAAGTCATGTGGTGTCCACAGCAGGTATTATGATAATGGCTGGTCTGCTTCTTTGTTGTTATGCCTCCAAAACTAGACATTGTCTTCGGTTTTATTTAAACAAAAATAACTGTAAAATCTTGTTCTCTCTTTCCATGCTTAGCAAGATTGTTTCTTTTATATCTATTTCTTCTCTAGAAAATTAGCTATTGGCAGCCATTTCGATTTCTTACTGGTTCATTAATAGGCAGCTAAATTGGGTTCGAGCTGATCTATAAACTCTAGGAAATTGAAGAATGTTCAGGGAAAATGTAAACCTTTTTCGAAAAATCAGGGACCCTCAGTACCTTTCTCCGAAAGCGTCAGAGAAGAATGTATAGAATATTTTAAAAAATACAGGAAGTTAATGTATTAAATAAAAACCGATACACAGAAGTTGCTAATAAAAAATAATGAATAGCTATTGTAATTTGTTTTTCTTACCAGAAGTATTTGACTCATCTGGTATGAAATACAATATTATCATAAGTTTATATTTTTTCTTTCCGTATGTTAGTAAGCTATATTTTCATCTTTTCCTTTAGGAAATATAACTTAAAAGTATAGCTCTGCCATAATCGCTATCTTTAGTAATGTGATTTCCTTTCATGATGTAGTTTAAAAGTCTCACGTTTTATGTTTGTACATGCACACTTTTCAACTAAATGTAATTCTTAGCTGTTTTGTTTTAACATCATTGAAATAACAGTTACAAAGTGGTTATAAATGATTAATCGGGTTATAAAACAGAGCATCTCAAAAAATATTGTACATGAAATAATAGTAATCCACGAAAAAAAAAAATGGTTACATATCCAAATTCGCATCTCAGTTTTAAAATATTGTGTGAGTCTCTAAATGAGGAATTCCCACACCGCTGCATTAGGCGATTCGCTGAAAATGATTTAACGCTATTCGGATAGTCTCCGCAATCACCAGGCCACACAGTTTGTGATTTCGTTTGTTATTGGGCATGTTAAAAATTGTTTATATGCTTCCATTCTCGGAACCTTTGAGGTCAGGAATCGCATCACGAATGTATTTGTGACCAATATTAGCGTAGGCGTAGCCCAAACTCGAATACCGTATTAGAGCAGAGCCCAGAGGAAGCCACAGTGAAAATTTATAATCATGTGAACGAAAACCTGTAAAGGTAACGTTTGTTTTTCTATATCATTCATTGTTCCGTTTGTGATATTTTTTTTAAATATAATGTTTTAAAACTCGAAAGTCGTTTATAATCATCCTGTATTATATTGTAAGGATTATGTTAATTTTATGAACAGTTAAATTTTGAGTTAAACTTCCTTTCCTATCGCTTCTTAATTTCAACTTACCATTTCCGACCAGAAAGTAGTTTTATAATCACGCCTGAATGCTAATGAGGAAGAGCGGTGTTTAATCGCGGAGTTCTACTGTCTTAGTGAGAGAGATACCAGATATTTTGGCTGTACGCGTCCGTCTCGTCTCTCTCGTAAGCTATTATTACGCTCCGCCGTACTTTAGGCTTTTGATAGCTTCACAGTCAATTAGCGTTAAGGGACAACTCTGTTAGAATCTTGATAGCTTCGGCTATATCTCTTAAGAATAAGTTAGAATAAATTAGTTACTTATTCTCTTAAGAATAAGCTCTTCATAAGATTAGTTTAGTTTAATTCTTAGTTTCTTAAGTTCAAGACCGAGTGTCGGCTTTATTGTATAACTCCAGACGGTTGGTACACTTGATTGGAATATAGGGGTTATTTACCTTCTATGTTTCCTGTCTAGAGACTCTGCGAAGCTAGCTAGAATCTACCTACGCAGTCTCGGCCACGGGTGTATAAAATTAGAACTTGGGTGGTTCTGAAGGCTCCGGGAAAGGTCACTTATGGCCGGCCTCGGGGTCTGGCATGTTTGAGCGGGGATCCGTAGTGTAACAGCTTTAAATATATTAAAATCTTGTAGTTTAATAATTTAAATAGCTGAACATAAGGTATTGTGAATGACAATTTGAAACCAGACTCGAGTGCCACGTGCGACTCTCGCACGAAGAATGTAATTATTTTTAAATGTTAGCATTTTTTTTTTTTGTTTGTATGTCGCTTTTGAGTGCTAAATAAAGTTTTTTTTCGTGTTCCATCATTGGAGTTGCTTCATATTGCCAAAGAAGTATCACAGTAGCCGGGGGGGGGTTATCTCCCCGGTTTGCTGGGTAACGGCCTTCTGCTAAGGGCTCGCCCATGCGACTGGCAGGTAGCAACAGACGACCGGTGCTGCCTGGTGTCATATCCAGGTGGTGCGCTGCTTCCCTGGAAGGGTAATAGTGGAGGTTGAACCTCCACGAAGTGCTCAAAGAGGGAGTAGACCCGTAATGTGCTTTGTCCACGAGGCGGGGCAGCCAAGATGTTACGTTATTATGTCATACGAACTCAAGTGATTATTCGCTTATCTGTTCTTAACATTCTTCACTTTCAACGGTAACTTAGAATTACACAGTGGAGAATCCTACAATATGAATGACGAACTGCTATAAAATTCTTTCGCAAACTGAATTTTTTTAGATGTAGTATATAAAAAACTCATACCTACTGTTTTAAATAGTTTTATTCAGTTACTTATAGATTATTATCCGACTAGTTCATCATGTATGATGCCTGAAAATCTGAGGAATTAAAAATTGAATTTTAGTGGTAACTCTGTTAAAGCTAGGAGTTAATTTCAGCTTTGGGAATGAGCGATCTCCATGGGATTTATATGCTTTTCCCTTAGAAATAGATTTCCCTTAAAATTTCATTCCATGAAGGCATTACTTCCATGAAAAGTTACTGTTGCTTCCGTTGCCTTAATTTTCTGAACCAACCAGCATACTTCGGTTGATAACTGGAAGACACCGCTTGGATCACCTTCCCGCTGCTGGTATCTCGAGCTTAATTTAACAATGAATGCTGAATAATTTTACCTGTTCAGCTATATATTACAGCTATGATCCATTTTATGTCTTATTTACAAAGCATCTGATAACGAACAAGTGAAACATTAAACATTTTAACGACATTATTTAAGTTTTGCCTTTTACATAAATTTTGCGCATTTTGGAAATGTATTCATTCTGTTAATTAGTAGAGGGATTAATGGGCGCGTTAACCTGTCGTGGTAAGCCTGTCTTGTCATGTCTCCTTGCGGTTTCCGCAATCGTGATAGGCACTGGCAACAACAATGGCATTGGTTAGATGCCATTGTGAAATTAATTTGCCTTTCCTATCTGCGTGCTGAATGCAGTGTCCCTGGCCTAATTGCTCCCCGAGATGATGGGATCCGGTAGGGGGCGCGAATGCAGCGCACTCCTCCCCCATCTGCAAGGAGGGTGCATTGATCGCTGGCAGAAGGTAGCCGGACGACGCACGGGTGTGATTTCCGCGTGCACCGGACGGGGATTATGGCCGGATAATGTTTCCCGAGCACGACGTTCGAACCAACGGCGTTCGCAACTTCCACGACCTGTTGAAATCCCACGGTTCTCATTGCCTCAACCACTTCTTGCAGGTGAAGTTTTCACTTCCTTTTGTTTCCCTCGTATTTAATATCGAAAAAAGTAGTGTTGCCATTGCACATAGATAAATAGTGTCATATTATGCATGCCGTATGGTCATATTTTCAGGAATATGTATCTTTATCATATATATCACTCCTCAGGTAATTAATAATTCTTATTCGAGTTTAATGCTTTTTTCATTTACTATAACTTCCATTAACTTTGCTATACTATAGTATAATAAAGTTTTTTTCTGAAGTATAGTATTGTTTTCAATCTACAGAAGGGTCTTATTAGGTTTTGACAATTATCGAATCGGTTCTTCATCATTTTTGAAGTAATGTTTTGAAGTAATGCATACTTTTATTATACGTGAACAGTAACTCAAATAATGTCGAAAATCATGGATTTTTATTTCTGAATCTTCGGCAATAATGTTTAGTAACCGTTAAATTTTGGCTAAAAATACTAATAAAAAATTACGAGTAAAAAGTGTCAGCTATTTCTTCGAGTAAAAATTAATAAAACTTTCAAGTAGTATTCTTAAAATTTTATTGTTTTGTGTTATGTCTAACTCGTAAAATGTGCTTTACTTTTGTAAAAATGAGAAGGAAATACTGTGTGTATCTGAAGTGTTTTTCTGTATATATATATTTACATGCGTATGTGCATGCCGGGAAATGCGTCAGTTTCATGGATCTTTTCGGGCTTTTTTTCCCCTACACACAACGTTAAATACGAGCTAATTTCCTTTGAAGTCTTCCTCGTAGGCATCTCTCTAGTTGGGCAGATTTAAAAATAATATTATGTGTCTAGAAAAAGAATAAACTTCAGGATAATAATTTCTTCGTGATGGCTTTCTAAGGAAAATTGGGTCGAATTTATGCTTCCAAAAAAGGCCTTTGAAATTCAGTCCAGCAACTGCTAACAAAAGGAAACCGAACCGGGTGAAATACCAGTGTTCCAAGGTATTTTGCACTCGGCTAATCTGCCGCCCGTTAAATTACCAAAACAAAGCTCTTCTGTGAGCTATTTGACATTTGTATCAAACGCTATCATTTTTTTAGTTATTATAGAAGCAAGAAGACTATAATGCCGTTATAGTTGCTAATTTTTGCTTGTTTTATTTCATTTTTATTGTTACTGCTGTAACCTCTTGTAATTTTTATTTGCTTATTTTGTTTATTCATCACTTTTGAGCTTCGCTTCAATTATTTCACTTAATTTGAGGGTAACGTCAGTGAGCATTGTTACTTTAATGCGGGTTTGAATTCCTGGAGAGACGGTTAGTTGTTTTTTGCGTTCTTCTGCTTGTGTAATGTACTGCATATAAACTAATTTCCCCCAGGAAAACCTTTCACTTAGCCAGATCTCCTCTAAAAAGTGGTAAGCCTCGCATTTTCCTCATCTATTACCTAATTGCATGCTTCATTTATTCATAGCGAACAAATATGTCTTAAACTCTGCATTTGTAACAGTGCGTCTTCTGTTCCTTTATTCCGCATACCTTTTTTTAAAAGACAAAACAAATTCATTTATGGATATGATGAATATTCAGAGAAAACCTCTTAGTTAGCCGCTATGATTCAGAAACTTCGCCTTATTTTAAGTGGAAAATATAGGCGGCAGTAGATTATTGTCCAAGTATTGTTTAAGGTTGCTTGTCTTATGTTTGCCGAATTTTTTAAGTGGGGAAGTTGCAGAGTTTAATTTGTATGAATAAAGCAGATATTTGTAAAATTTTCAACATCTCATTGCTTTCAAAAAGGAGTGAGAAATATCAATTCAAACGCATAAGGTCTCTCTTTAGGTCTTTTGTGTAACCATTACTTTGTTTTTAAATGTCTTTAAAGGATACTTAATCACACTGTAGAGACATTAGGTTATTTTTAGGAAGTAGGCAAGATGAAAAAATAGCAACGCTTTCGTCAGGAATCGAACCGCGGACCTCTCAATTACGCGCTGAGCGTGCAGACAGTTACACCACGAAGACTCGCTAAGAAGGCGGGAGAAATACCTTAAATACTTCCCCTTTTAAAGGGCGATTGGGGTTTTTAGGGTATCCAATCGCCAAATCCTGGTTGAGGAGTCATTCTCTTCACCCAGGATTATCCAACACCCTTTTGGTTCGGGCGTCACTGTAGAGACATTAGGTATATTTTTGAGGCCGGAGAGATGAAAAATTAGCAACGCCTTCGCAGGGAATCGAACCGTGGACCTCTGGAATACGCGCTCAACGTGCAGACCACCACACCATGAAGGCATGCCAAGAAGGCGGGAGAAATACCTTATAACATTTTACGTTTAAAATTATTTTTTATGTTGCTTGAGAACTATTTAAGGTTTTATTCCCACTGAGAGAAAACGACATGTTTCATTTAAAAGGAACAGTTTGTAATTTTTTCTCTAATCTGTACGTTAATTAAAAGAATTCAGGGGAAAATTATAACTGAAAAAAATATATTTCAGTAGGTCGTTTTCTACACCAATGGCTGCGCCAAATTATCGGTCATGCGTTAGAAATTTGTCTCTCAAATTTTCGTAAAACTGTTATAGCCTTTCTTCAGAAACACAGTTCAGAGAATGTTAATTTGCCATACCCATGAAGGCTATCGCCTCATCTGAAAAATATTTATCTTTTACCTGGACAAGGAAAGCCAGTTTGGTTTCGAATAGCACTTCTAGAGAACGATTTACTTTGGTCTAGTTATACACGGACTACCAATAAGTATTTGGACACCTATGCAAATGACGATATCTGCGGTCCTAAGCTATAAATTGTCGCCATCAAATATTAGATTCCTATATTATATTAAAGAAATTAAATAATGAAAAATCTGCATGAATGTATGTATGTTTCTCGCTTTGTGTAAAAACAGCGGTACCTAGAGGCATCAAATTTTCAATAAAGTAGTCCTCCACTCGAATATGGGCGTCTGGAAGCCAAAATTTGGAATTTGGATTTTATCTATTTCATATTTTGTAAAATTTTAAACAATTTTTATTAACAAGGTCAACGATTTAAGGCGAGCAGTGACAATACTATATGAGGAGATGAAACATTTTCATCCCCCAGCGCGCGAGACTGTGTATCGGAAATTCTAAAGATATATCTTTTTAATTATTTTGCGATACTGCTGTTGAAATGAATTTTATGGTTTAAGTGAGAATAACATATTTAAATAAAGGTAATACACAAAATGTTTAAAAAAAAAACGCCGCTTTGGGCGTAATGTAAAATCTGAAAGCTTTCAGATTTTTAATATTGTTATTAGTCTAACGGGGCAATCTTCCCAGGAGGACTAATTTCATTTTGCAATTTGTGTCGATCCACTATAAACAGCGAATCACTTTTCATATTCTTGGTCACCAAATATTAAAGCCCTGTATTACATTTAAAGAAATTAAATAATGAAGAATCTGCATAAATGTATGTATATTCACGCATTGTGATAAAAAAAGATACATAGGCCCATCAGATTCTGAATAACGTACGTCTCCTGGCCCATTATTATTGGACCTCTGGAAACTTAAATTTGGAATTTGTTTTGTTATCTATTACGAAAAAAAAAAAAAAAAATCTTTATTTCCAGCGCAAGAGACTGTGTGTATCGGAAATTCTAAAGATATGCTCATTTTAAAATTATTTTGCGATACTGCCGTTGAACTGAATTTTATGGTTTAAGCGCGAGGAACATAATATTTAATTCATGAAGGTAACATACAAAACGTTAAAAAATGACCCTTTAGGCGCAATATAAAATTTGAAAGCTTTCAAATTGTTAATATTATTATTATTATTTTAAACGGTTTTGTATCTTACACCTCAGTTTGTACTGATACATGGTAGGTAAGTTTTTGTCGAATGAGGAAGTCTTGGAGAGTTGAGAGTGGAGTATTTAAGTTGATAAGTAATGTTGAAATGGGGGAGACAGAAAGAGAAATGCTCCGGCTTATCACTTTAAACATTTTCTGCAGTGTTCTGCATCATTTAAGAAGCTTTGTCAGAGGAGGCGTGTGGCGCTTGCCATTAAAGGTGCATTTTCATTGGACTCCAGCATGGACTGGTATTGATTATCGCTTAAAAGATGGCTATTGAGCGAGAGCAATTACAACGAATGTCACATTCGCGTGTTTGGAAAAACAGTCGACATGCCTGTTCCATAGCACTGTATAGCATTTGCCCGTGCTATGCATTCTTATTATTTGTTAGCTTTAAAGCCAAAGGAGAAAAAAAGTGTAATCGCTGATGAATAAAGGTGGAATATGCTCTATAGTCGAATTGCAGGAGCGTTCTTAAATGGAATTACTAATTCAAGTTTAAATATGATTAGTTTTAACTAACTAACTTTTACGAAGTTCTTCAGTATTTTTTATTCAGTTGTAATATTTTTCTTGAAATATAATCACAAATAAAGTTAAATAATATATATACATATGTAACTTTGGTATGCTTAACAGCATATAAATCACGTGGCTAATAAGTATTGCCATTCCAGGGGGCAAAAGATCTTATGGCTTTCAAGCACCGTACACTGCTCAAAAAAAAATATGGGACAGTGCTATATCTCCCGTTCTACTGGGCCGATTTACAAAATTAAAACTGCGTTCTTCATGTCTCGAAAGCGCGACTTGGGATATATATTAGATTTATATATAGCACTATTCTAACATAGGTATTTTGACACAAAATCAGACTTTTTCTGAAATAACATACCAATTGTTTTTACATATTTCGATTCTACGACTCAAATTACGCCTAAATATCAAATTTTGTAAAATTTGGAGCGAACTTTACGGAGAAATTCACAAATTTATGTTGTCACTTTTTGTTCAGTTTGTGCCAAGAATAGTTCACTTGGCGAACGTCTTAATATATGGCAACCTTGTTTCCTTTCCCGTGAGAGGAAAAAAAGTCACCATCATTCTTTTTTCCAAATAATATTCTTTATATATTTTTTATTATAACTGTTATTATTTTAAGTAATTTTTTCTTTTTCGAATTTCATTT